AGTCATATGCTTTGGAGATCTGTTCCAGTTCAAGCCTGTTTTTGACTATTTTTTGTTTTCCAATGATGTTGATGGGATAAATGCACTGGCAACTAACTTGTGGCAAAACATTTCAGAATGTATGAACTCACTGAAATCATCGTCAAAGAGACTCTGTCCACTTTGCACAGATCCTCAATAGACTTAGAGAAGGTATGCATACAGCAGAAGACATAGAGGTTCTTGAAACCTGTATATGTGATGTCTTCATGCCAAACTATCAATATATGCTCCACATCTGTTTCTGGAAAATTAGCGAGTTGCTCTTTGGAATGATGAAGCATTTGCAAAGGTCAACAAAGATGAAAACAACTTGCAAGGCTCATGACAGAGTCATTGGAGTTTCATCACTGAAGTAGAGAGCCTGAAAGCCAGATTCCAGACAATCCCTCAAAGACAATGCATCTCCATTTTAACCACTAAATTGGTCTTCGATCTGAATTTTGAAGTTTGTATGAATATCAACACAAAAGATGGCATGACAAATGGAGCCTCAGGTATTATTAGACAGTTGGCTATTCCTCCATCAGGTATTGCGAGAAAAGGTGTAATATGGATGCAGTTTGCAACAGACAAAGTTGGACGTCAGACGATTGGACAATCGAGGTGTTTGTACATCACGCATGGAATTCACAAGCAATGGACTCCTATTGTTCCTGTTAGCAGACAGTTGAAAGTAGGTCGCTTAATGGAGGTGAAATAATGTAGGACTCAAATTCCCTCTCAGGCCTTCTGCTGCCAAAACGTTTCACAGAGCACAGGGCAGAAACATTCACTGCATAAATGGTTGTTGATTTCTCAGTCACGAAGTTCGAAATTAGAGTCAACCATTTTTTTGAACATGCACTACGTGGAGCCTTAGCAGGTGACAACATTAGAGGTCTCCATATCCTTAATCTGAACAAAGAAAAATTGCTGTCAATGCACAGAGTGAAAACAGAAATGGAGCGTCTGAGATCAAGTGCTCATTCACAGAACTGCAAAGTAAACCAATTTATTCATTGTCCAACTCCTTCATCATTTTGTTACAACAATGCTAGATCATTGCACAAGCATTTGGTGACGACTGTCTGAATGATCCCAACATTCAAGCAACAAATATTGTGCATCTTCTCTGAAACTAGAAGTCTTTCCCTCTGAACTTAACACGCAGTACCAGATGCCAGGTTTCCAGTCTCTTTAGAAATGATGAAATACCTCATCCACCCGTGTGCACCATCACATGGCTCAGCGGTTTATTACAAGATGAATCAATAAAGTGTAGTCACAAAGGAACAGAGCTGGCATTGAGCTAACAGTTATCATTCCAACAGAAAGGCCAGATGTAACAATCATTTGGTGTTTCCTAAAGCGTCCAGAGATCTCCACATCCACACTTACAGCGTCCTCCTAACACAGATGCTGAAGTCCATCACTACTGCACATGCTGTGGTTTTAGGAGATATGAACAGTGATCTCAAGCAACATCCACCTCTTCAGCTTCCTACAGGATATAAGCAATGCATTGAAGGGACCAACAACAGACTACATGGAACCTCACTGGATCCACATCTATACCAATCTGCCACATGGATCATTTGGAGACAGGAAAAACAGAAACATACTGGTCGAGACCACAAGGTTATTTGGATTTCACTCCAAATAAAAATATGTTGGATTGACAAAGAACTGAAAGCAACTTCTTGGGAGGATCAACTTGTTTTAATTTTGTGCATAGGTGTCTCATGGACACGTTTATGGATAATATTGTGCCAAGCACCATGAGAACATTCTAATCTATCCAGTCAATGATTCTGTGGATTCATTGGCAGACAACAGAAGATTCCTTTGAAAAAAGTGTCATATTATTGTGTGAGTATCCTGTTGGCATTATATAGATATTGATGTGCTAGGAGCTCAAGATCCTCCATTCCTATTATGTGTTGTGAGTGTAAGTGTCTCTAGAACCATGAGAAAAATGTGAAAGCTTTTAAAAAATATCTAAAAAATCAGACTTTCACGTTAATTACTGGAACACACGTACCTCTTACATACCAAAGCAATTTTAAAATTACCCAAAGAATTGATGAAAAAAATATGGCAAAGTATCTCTTACTACATTCTCATGAGTGTAACCCAAACCTGCTTTTGTGTAACCCTATTTCATTTGCTAATTAAGTCGACCAAACAGTCAAAATGTCAATGTCAGGGTATGAAACTCCCAAAAATTTCAGCCAGACAACAGGGTTGGTTAGATGTAAAACTTGCCAGCCCTGACCAAAACTTACCTACCTGCCCACAAAATATCTTCACATACATGTCTAAATTTTAACCAGACTGTCTGGCAGGTGAATTGGAGAATCTGGCTGTCCGTGTTGAAAATTACGCATCCCGGGGTGGTCGGGCAGGCAGGTATTTCGAATGCTGTCAATGCAGATGTTAAAATTGGGATATAAACGAGTTTGGCAAACAAATAATTCATTATGTCTTGCCTTAAGACCAGGATTGTACCTCGACTAATAAACATAGGGGTCCAGCAGAACCCTAATTATTTTTTTTAAGGGTCCTTGCAGGCATAACAAGAGTCCTTATGGGTGAAATGATGTAGTAACTGCTCTGAAAGAAACAACCAAACACTTAGCAAAGTCATAGATGTGTTGCGGGTACAGTGAATAATATGGATGCAGTAAAATATTGTCTGCGTTCATTCTCTACATTTGCGCATCACGTAAAAACCCTGATTAAGACTTAAGACGCAGAGGTACAAACAACAACTGCTCCTGTGAACCACTGTTTAACGCTGCACTCAGCAATATTCCCCCCTGTATGATGGCAGTCTGTAAACAATCAAGTCTGGGCCAGAAAATCCAGTGATAAACAGCATGAGCATCGATCTACACAATTGGGATGCGATGACGTGTCAACCAAGCCTGACCACCCAATCCCATTAGTCACTTTTCACGACAAGCATTTGTTACTGAAGATCAATTCTAACCCGGATCTTCATGGGTCACAGCTGTTAGGAAACTGCGGACAATCAATCTAACAAGCCATGCTGACCTGTACACAGGTGGAATGTGATTGAATATTGCAGTATATCATCGACTGAAGCATATCACAGTACACTAATACAGGGCTCCAGATAAGGGCCGTATCGGCGTATGTACGGATATAAAATAAGCACGATGCGGTAGGAAACAATTTTAAAAACATAGCAGACACGGACCACAGCAATGGTGTACGGTTTCAGAATCATTTACAGACGTATTTATCTGAAAAAGTATTGTTTTATTGTTTACTGACATGTTTACACAAGAGCAGCAATGTTGTGGTGCATATATGAAACGAAACACAAGATTACTGATACGCCATTAAATTCCATTCAGTACTCTTATTGTTTTCCAGTTCTCCTATATTGAAAAAATAAGGAGTACGTACTCCTGATCATGAAAAATTATCTGGAGCCCTGCTAATACATACACTAACGATACAAGGGTGTATTACAGATTGCACTTGTAAGTTCACAACAGATCTTTACCTATAAAGTGAGCATGGTTTTATGCAGGAACACTAGAAATGGTCTTCTCACATTTTACCCATGTGGAGATTCAAACCCTTGGCGTGCTGAGCTAGCACTTTAACCACAAGGCTATCCATCACTCATTTACCATAGTAAATAACAATTAGAGAAATGTTTTACATGTTTTCATCAACATGTAGCATAATGTCAACCTTATTTCTATAAAAATATTCCTTTATAACACGTACTGAGAATGAATACACCATGCAATGTAGAAAGTGGTCAAATATAACACATGTTCTGAGAAAGTGTAATCCCAAACATACTGAACAACATTAGAAACTCACCACACTAAAATGCACCGACAATGCTCAGATGCCATGGGTACATTTCAGTCTCACGGGGATATTTCGTATTATATGGGTGGTGCGTTTCTAACGTTGTTCAGAATATAACATATTACATGTGTAACAACACATTTTGGTAAAATACAAAATACTGTAACAAACGTCTTAAGATGAACAACAAATATTTCAGTGTTACACATATATTTACTTATATTACTAAGGGACCGTTCATAATTTATGGCTAGGGGGTGATGATGATTTTTATGGAGAAGCATGTACAATGTGAGTGACCCCCCTAAAATTTATGTACAAAGTAAGTGTCCCCCCCTGCATGTCATGTACAAAATCAATTACCCCACTCCCCTTCCCATATTTTTTAAGCATAATTTTTTAATAATGTTATATACAAAATGGATGACACCCCCTAGTACATGTGTACAAAATTTAAGATCCCCCACCTCACCAGAACAAAATGGGTGACACACCCACCCACCCCTTAAAATCATCATCACCCCCCTAGCCATAAATTATGAACGGTCCCTAATGATACATTCTGTCTGTAAGACACTTGGTGAACCTCAATTTCACGTCAATTTGATATTTCTATTCTTCATACAATATTATAATACCACAAAATATGCATACATTAATCTTGACCAGGAACCCTACTTCCTAAAACCATGGTCCAGTTTACACATGCTATTTAGAACCGCTGAGTAGGTAAATCATTTCTATGTACATGTAACATTATCTTGCCTCACACATAAATGTTGTTTTCTGATTGGCTGAGCGCTCTTCTATTATCTTCAATGTACCCCGCTTACAAGCGAGTAACATTTTCTATGTACCCCGCTGGGAATGCCGAACTCATTTGGTACTTCGTAGTTGTAATTCTTTATCTCGAATAACACTGAATCACGAATGATGTACGGAAATTACCGATGTTTTGCGAATGCAAATCAAAGAAAGGGAGATAACTCTAAATTAGTTTTTCTTGTCGTCTGGTACTCCATACTATGATCCAATACCTATGCTTCAAACAGTTCAAAATTACCATTGAGGTGTTCGGTAAGATAAATACGTTGTTCACTGGTCCCTGGGTTGGGCCCATGTTTCTTTATGTCCCCCCACCCTTCGGGCTCAGGGAACATAAACAAACATTGAGGGTAAATCAGCCCATGTCCCCCTCAAGACCAGTGAACAACTTATAATGTTATTGACTCTGTACAATTATACTGAAGTATTATCAGCCTTACATGTATGTATTGAACTGTATACTTTTACATATGTCAATCTGTATGTAAACCTGAAAAAAAGTGAAATAAAAATCAACAACAACAAATTCCATTCTAATATAGTCCTTATTTAAGGAACCTCACGCTTAAAGTGTCACTGTCACCAGAAAATAGGACAGGACCATTCAGCCATCACTGACAAATATTTTCTTAGGATGAAGTCAGGGTTATTTCCCTTCTTAAAAGATACAACCTTGTCACTATGGTAACAGTTAAGTCTTGACATCTCCTAGAGACAGTTATTTTGCTATCACCTCATAGTCGCCATGGTAATAGAAACCAGACAGGCTTCATCATTACAGACATCAGACAGTTACCATGGTGATGGAGACTAGGCCATCACACTATCACCTCCAAGAGACTGGACAGTTTTCATGGTAAATGAAACCTGACACCCTTAGCAGTGACAGAATGACACCCAAGTCGCCATGGTAACCAGACCAGACAGACATCATCATAGTAGATATCAGACAGTTACCATGGTGACAGCGACAGGCCATTCATGTTATCACCTCTAAGAAAACCAGACAGTCATTGAGGTGACAGATCGAGACCTGAGTCGGCATGACAATAGATTCCAGTCCGTTGCTATGGTGATAGAGACCAGGCCATTATGCTAACACCTCCCAGAGTCCAGACAGTGTGAAACCGTCCCTGAGTTTCTCCACTGCCAGACCAAGTTCCTCGGAGTATACAGGATCACGGTCTCGCTCCTTCTCCCCATCAGCAAAGTAGGCCTGAAACACACATTGGGTTGGTCAAGGTCGTTAGACAGGTCTCTGATAGAGAAGATCAATTCTTACCACGAAAATATGGCAGAGTTCATCTCTTTTGCAAATACTGTATGGTCAGGTTGTGCTAGACTCCAGGACAGATATCTGATAGAGAAGAAAAAATGTAAATTTTGAACTAGGGCCAGACCAATTTTATTTCTTGTTTTACGGATCCTCTAACATTTCAAGAATAAGAAGAAAAATAAAAGCCTCACCTGCCTTTAGGTTTTCTGAGGACAAAAATCCGTAAACAAGAAATAAAATTGATATGGCCTAAACTCAGTTTTTGAAAAATACTGTATGGTTAGGTTGGTGAAGCCTGCATTGTTTCAAGCTCATCAAAATCATATGCAACACTTTGACACACACTCTGTCGAGATCTGACATGACCCCCTCCATGTGGTCAAGATAAAAGAACCTTAAGTGAATTTTGAGCCAATCAGATGTAAGCTTTCTAAAACATTAACGTTGTTGTCAAAGTAGTAGACAAGGCACAAGTGACATTTCACCAACTTTGGAAGGGAAAGAAATGAAGCTTTGCAAAATAACTTCCGGTATTGTTGTAGTCTGGAAACAACTGAAATAAGAGTGTGTCAAACATTGTGACAAAGCAGTACCGCCCTTATTGTTCTCCATTTGGAACTGGCCAATTACAATCGTTTTGGGTATTACAAAATAAGATGTGCTGCTCCCATTGTTTTTCACACTGGTACAGAGAATTAAGATGCCCCAACACTGACTAAATCGATAACTGACGGAGCACTTTCAGATTTGGACAGAGCCGGTAATGTTTGAAAAGCATGATGTGACACTTCACTCCATGTTTGGTCGTCAGTGATAACTACTTACAGCAAATGCATCTGTGCCTCCATCATTCTCGATCTCCACGTCATCTGTGACTCTCTCCAGAGTCAGCTCCTCCATCGTCTGGGGCTGAAACAGTCACACTTACTCCACAACACATAGAAACAGACTGTCAACTGATGAGTTAGTGAGTTTACTTTTACGCTGCTTTTAGCAATATTCCAGCAATATCATGGTGGGGACACCAGAAATGGGCTTCATACATTGTACCCATGTTGGAAATCGAATCCAGGTTGCCGGTGTGATGAGAGAATGCTTTAACCACTAGGCTACCCCACTGCAGCCCCATCAACTGATAAAGAAATCATTGACAGGAGGAGGCAGAAAATGTTCCCTTCAAAACAAAATAAATAACTTGTCTTTGGGTTTTATCTTCAAATAAATTCTTTTCTAGTTTCCGTTCTGACAGGAAAATGTGAATTTATTTCACAATGAGCTGACCCGTGGAGATTCAGGTTAGAATTGGTCTTCAGCAACCCATGCTTGTCGGGAGGTCAGACTCCCTGAGATGATTATATTCCATTTGCTCAGATTGATTCTCTCACTTGCCTGTCTGGTCCAGACACGATATTATTTACAGACCGACACCATATTGGTGGAATATTGCTGAGTGCAGCGTTAAACAACAACAACAACAAAACAAATTGAGCCAGATGGAAATTACTGCTGATCAGGCATCACTGACCTACATGGAATAATTACTGCAAGTTTTCAGCAAAATATCATATGTAGTAATTCTTTAAATGCCACTTACAATATAAGTTCATATCCTACATGTCATTAGCTCAATATACCAAAAACAAATGAGTCATCACCTATGCTCATGTTTAAAATGTTGATTGTCAGAGACTAAAGGCCCATCTAATTCCAGCTACACGATCAGGACCAGACAAGTCAGGATCAAACAATCCAGAGACCGATATTATGAGCACAATTCACAAAGTCATGATGACATGTAATCGACCAGGCAATCTTCTGACCCCCAATCTTGCCCCAACTCCTGCCTCACAATCTTGCCCCCGATCCTGTCCCCAAGATCCTTTCCCCTTGTCCTGACTCCCGATCCTGTCCCCAAGATCCTACCCCTGTACCTTTCCCTTTGTCCTGCCCCCAAATCCTGCCCCTGATCCTGCCCCCTGATCTTGTCCCCTAATCCTGCCTCCCAATCCTGCCCCTGACTCTCAATCCTGTCTCCTGATCCTGTCCCCTAATCCTGCCCCCACTGCTGCCTCCCAATCCTGTCCTCTCAATCCTGTCCCCTGATCTTGCCCCTAATCCTGCCTCCCAATCCTTTCCTCTCAATCCTGTCCCCTGATCTTGCCCCTAATCCTGCCTCCCAATTCTGTCCCCTTGATTCTGCCCCCCGATCCTACCCCTGATCCTGTCCCTCTGTTCCTGCACCCTGTATCTGGTCCCTGATCCTACCTCCCTCCCACATTCTGCCCCTAATCCTGCCTCCCGATCCTGTCCCCTTATCCTGCCCCCTGATCCTCCCTTCTGATCCTGAATGATGATCCTTCTGGTTGCCTCCTACAACCAGCAACAGTGGCTTGGGATCTTGCCTAACCCAGAACATTGACGCTAGTGTTTGCTTCCTACCTTAGCATCTGTCTCAAACTCCACACCAAATATGGGACAGGAGCTGTACACACGATGGAGGTTCTGTATCTCCTTGGCTGTGTCCTTGAGCTTCTCCACAGGGTCGATGCGGAACCCCAGAACGTAGCCCCCACTCTGTCAGCAGAACATAGAACAACAGTGAAATGAGTTTAAAGTCGTCATTCAAGTTATCAGGCAGATAAACAAGGGAGATAAGCCTGAAGGGCTTCACATGATTCAAGTTGTCACTTTGAAACTCAAGAACATAAACACGATCCTGAAAACACTACTGGGACAATCTGGGCTTACATTCCATGATTAGTGAGTGAGTGAGTTAGGTTATACGCCACTTATAGCACCATTCCAGCAATATAACATTGACAATGACATCATGAGCCATGATCTACACAATTGGGATACGATGACATGTGCCAACCATGTCAGCGAGCCTGACACCCGATCCTGTTAGTCGCCGTCTATGACAAGCATCGGTTGCTGAAGACCAATTCTAACCCAGATCTTTACAGGTTTGCAGCAACCAGATTAAGATCTAAACAAAATTTCAGTCCAGGGACAAAATGTGGCAATGCAGGTTATACGTATGGGTTCCAATATCCACATTATCACACAAGGCCAAACGTGAAGGAAGCACCTACCATGGTGGAGGTCTCTACAACAAGAGCTAGTCCAAACTTGGAATCCCGGATTTTCACAGTTTTCTGAAGAAAGAGATCGTGAACAACAGTCGGTGAGTATATAGAAAATACATTCTTTACAATACTTTCATCACTTTTTTTTAATTTAAACATTGAACAAAATTATTTTAAAAATAGGTTTGAATTAACACATGCACAGAAGTGATTATATGATTAATCTCTGATATCAAAGTAGCGACTTCATCCAAGTTTTCTCAGTATCCTGTTCTTTCTTTTTCTCTTCAAATCTGAAATTACTTCGCAGCTTCTTACAAAACAATCTCATTAAAAATAGTCGCAGTTCTCGTTACCACTAAACAGAGATCTGATGTCATCCTATTAAAGTTCACCTCAGATTGACCTTTAGCAACACTGACCAATTAAACGACTAACAAGAAGTTGAGATGTGCCAATCAGAAAGCAGGTGTCTCAAGCTTTATGGTTCCAGTATCCATGTGGCAACTTCCATTCAGTTTCATAAAATATTGATTCAAAATTTGATAACTGAACAAAAGAAAGTTCTGGGTCCCGATCCACACAGCGTTCAAAGCGCTACAACATTCGTAAGCCTATGATAAACCAGGTCTTAACGTATGAACGCTTTGTGGATTGGGACCCTGGTATATCTCATTGAATGCCGAGATTGTGTGCAGTACTTCCAATCAGCTTCTTTGCCAAAAGTTTATTTGATTGAAGTGAGAGATAGAAGATGATTTTGATGGATCCAGTCATACAGACAGTAACTGTACCTGTTTTGTCTTTGAGGATCTATTATTAGAAATATATTCTGACTATCACTTTCATGATCTGGTAAGCTGGGTTTTCACAGATTTTTGTTTAGCAACAGTGAGAACTCCCATCTTATTTTAAACAAATTGCTTACAAAACTGATAAATAGCAAACAAACAGAATAAAGAAAAAGTATTCTGACATTAAATGATTTACCATCAGCACTGACAATATATGACTTACCATCTGCAGGTATGGTATGCTGACATTAAACGACTCATTCACGTTGGCATGCCAGACAAGTCTCACGTTTGTGATGTAGAATGTTCCTAAGTTCCCCTGTTAAGTACAGACAGATTGTTTATAATAGTTTCAGGGGTTCTTGTGCATTTTATTAGTAATATTACAAAAGAGTAAAACAAACAAAATGAACAAAACCGATATAAACACATGCTGTCTTTTCTGAAAGTGAAAGATGTTTAACAAAAAGTTGTTGGTTTTGTCTACGAAGCTGAATAGAAACAAAAAACGAGAAAGGAAAAGTGTTTTACTTAGACACAGCACTGTACCTGATCACTGGACAAGTTCCACACTCCATTGACCTGGTTGTAGATCTGTTCCTGGGGAAGGAGGCGCAGGTGCTTCTCTTGTATCAGGGCCCCTCGCAGCTTCAGGTCACGGTACAGTTTTGATGTTTCATATGCCCTGGGGTACAATCAGGCCATGAATCACGATACGATATTTTTTATTATTTTGCGTGCATGCGTGCGTGCGTGCGTGCGTGCGAGCGTGCGGCGTAAAAACTATGCGGCGCGGCGCGCGCGCGCGTATGGCGTCGCATGCGGCGTATGCGTGCATGCGAGGCGGCGCGGCGCGTCGCAATGCGGCGCGCGCGCGTGCGCGTATGCGGTTGCGTTGGTGCGTGCGTGCGTGCGTGCGTGCATCATTTACCTGTATGTTATAAATATAACACCGAGTTCTGCAAGATACAGTGCTTGTAACAGATGAAACAACATGGTGATGTCCCCGGTCAGCCATGTTAGTAGGAAACATTGCCACATCCCTAGTTTCACATGTAACATGTGAGTACTATAATGTACTCCCCCTGTCTTCCCCCAAATTGTTGTCATTGCTTAATTAATGTATTGTCTAGATCTGTTGTTGATTATATGAACTGGTGAATAATACAGACATAACAATTGCTTATTGCATTTGACTAGCAAATTGTGTCATGATATTTTTGCAAGCTCAAGTCATTCGCAATTTTCGCAAAAATATCATGCTTACAAAAAAATTGTGATTTACAGTATACTCCTGACAAGTTTAGTTAGTTAGCATTAGTTACTCACATTACTTTTGTATCCACTGATAGAGAATAACATTTGATACCAAATACAATACAACAGTTGCTCAATTCCATATTGAGAGTATGTAAGTCCCAAAACATTCAAAGTAAATATACATCTAACACATTATTTAATTGTAGGATATATATTATTTTAACTTATGGCCAGATTTATCTCCAATGGCTAACATCTGAAGGGATGGTGTAAATCAAGCTAAAATCAATGCAGGTAGCAAAAGTACTGTAAGTCCCCATGGTCCCTTGTATGGTGATCTACCTTCAGTTGCTGGCGATCTATAGCCTGATTTTATAATAATAATAATGAGAATATTTATAACGCGCCTTTTCCAGGCTGGATATCCTGCTCAAAGCGCACAATCTGATCATTATTACCACAGATAACCCAAGCTACCGTTTAGGCGGAACAAGGTTAATAGTCTCACAACTTATCTCACCGGGTACCCATTTCCTGCTGGGTGAACAGAGACAATTTTGAACAAACTCACTTTCCTAAGGTGAGACCACATGTATCACATGTGCTTCTTTGTGGGGCAGGACTGAAGTCCAGAAACTCTCAGGAGTCAAGATGTCACAGATGGTCACCCATTCAAGGACTCTATGTGCCCAACGCTTGTTATCTTCAACTGATTTTTACCTGAGCTCAACGCACAGGACTACACACCACCACATTATATATTGTGTTCTTGACTGATGTAGTATTTTTCACGGATCTCATACTAGTTTTAAGTAATCTGTTATAATCTAGTAGTTATAACTGTCATTTGATGACAGCATTTTAGAAAGTATTAATATATTTATTCTCAGCATATGACTTTTTGTCATCACAATATGGCCGAAATATTGCCGATGTGATGTACAAATTTATAAAGAAACATATATTTAGGAGTACTTCCACAAGGTAACATCTACAGAGGAAACTATGAGTTCAACCCATGTTGAGATATGGTTGCAGGGTATTTCTCCGATAGAACCAGAGCTACAGATAACTTTTAGGTCATTGAGTTATGTACTCGCTTGTGTTCATCTCAATTGGGTATCCTAAGTTTCCTTTGAGTAACCAAATAAATTGTACTCACCACACTCAAACTAAATTGGGTATTTTGCCATTTTCCATTAATTGTAAATGTTGGTTTATGTGTTTGTCATTTACATTTTGATCTGTAATATAATCTGTAAGTTCATGTGTTGAAATAGAACCTTTCAATATACGTCAGTTATTTTACCTATTCACCGGTACGCAAGCTAACATTTGACATTTTTGTGTGTATGCATGTAAGATCAAACTTAACGAGTATTTACAACAATTTGAGCGTACTTTACGCAATAGACGTAATAGGAACAGGGTTTTCACATAAATATTTGCGTAATTTACGAAGATACGCAACTTATCTGTACCTCTGAAGAACGCCAATATAGTTTGTGGTTAAGTGAGGATGATCTCACGTGTCTAAACCTACCTGTGAACTGCTATGATTGAGGTAAAGAGCCGTGGAGATCCTGGAATCTGAAACAACAAATCATCAGAATAACACTCTTGACCTTCTCAACAGTTTCAAACAATACACATAGGTGATGTGAGTGAGTTTAGTTTTACGCCACTTTTAGCAATATTCCTGCAATATCACGATGGGGAACCACAGAAATGGGCTTCACACTGTACGAATGTGGGGAATCGAACCCGGGTCTTCTATGTGATGAGCAGACACTTCAACCACTAGGCTACCCCACTGCCCCATAGGTGGGGAAGATAAACTGAACCTAAAGAAACAAGATAACCCAACTGCCACTTCTCCTTACAGTAGATATCTTGCTGTCTCAAAGGACCCTTGTTAGAGCTCTTGCTTTCAAGTGAAATCTGCTCAGAGGTTATATATTTGAATTGTAAGACCTGTGGTTCTTTTACAGTTGCATTGTTTCAACAGCCTTGTGAAGTGCATCTAATTTGACTCTGACTGGTTAAAAGTCACAATTGTCTTCACACGCAAATTTCACGATGCAAATCAAACTATAAATCAACCTATAAATCAACATATCATGGCTGGCATTGTAACCCACTGTTTTCCCACTGAGCTACTGAGGAGAAAGGGTGGTAGCTCTGTCATGTCTTGACTTCATCTGTCTGTATGCTGCACTATAGTTTGGCATGAAATGCATGTGGACCCGTTTTTTTGTAAATATCTCTTCATCCAATGACCCAATCGATCTCAAACTGTGCAAGTGGATGTTTTGTCAGACAACCTAATCACATTGTAAATCACTGATTTTATGCATTTGTATTAAAGAATCTGTCTATGTAATTGTCAACAAAATAAACAGCAGAACGCAGACTGCTCGCAGAGGGAGGGAGCCAATGACCTGTAACAGCGGCAGTGTTGGGTCATAAAGGTAAATGCACGTGCAGTTCATGATAGTTACCTGTGCACTGCACACAGTGATAGACCGTTTGGATCATTCACATTGACTACTTCTAGCTGTCATCATGAAAGCTTATTCAGATGATGCTAAACGTTTAATTAGAAATGTGTTGAATTTTTTTTAAAAAGAGAGCAAACGTAGCAAACCTATTTATAAGGTGTGGGATTACATGAAACATACAACTTTTGCTCTTGGCATGAAAAAGAACATCGTGCAAAAAATTGTGAAAAATAAACCAACAACCAATAAACAAAACCCTGTACAAAAAGGTAGGCATCCAAAGTTAGATTCTTTTGACATCAGGGTCATCAGAGATGTCATTCGCTGGCTATTTGCTAGAAATGAACACCTGTCCACAAGAAAGTTAAAACACGTCCTTGCAGAGGATCACGACATTAATGTTTCTAGGTTTATGCTAAGCAAACTACTGCTCAAATTTGGATACAAGTACAAGAAGGTAGCAAACCAGAAACTTGTAATGTGTGAGAGATCTGATATTGTGAAAATAAGGTGTAACTATCTGAGAGAAATTAAGCAGGCAAGAGAGGATGGGTTCGAACCCATATATCTGGATGAGACCTGGGTCAATGCAAACCATACTGTTGCCAGACAGTGGCTACCCACTGATCCCAGTGATGGTAGGAAAATACCAACAGGCAAAGGTGAACGTTTAATCGTTCTTCATGCTGGTTCCCACCGTGGATTCCTACCTGGATGTGATCTGGTATTTCGGTCAAAGAGCAAAGATGGTAGGGACTATCATACAGAAATGAACTCAACGGTTTTCACACAGTATGTTGAGGAACAATTGTTGCCAGCTCTGCCTTACAAAAGTCTTGTTGTCATGGACAATGCTCCCCTATCACAGTGTTCGGAGATACAAACAATAGGTGCCCAACTTCCAATACAAAGAAGTCAGATATGCAGCAATGGCTAACAAATAACAATATACAATTTTCAATTAAGGCCACTAAACCACAGTTGTACTCTTTGATTAAACCTAACAAACCTCCACCCACATATAACATTGACAACATGCTACATGCCAACATGGCCATAAGGTCTTGAGATTACCACCATTACCACTGTGATCTCAACCCAATCGAACTTATCTGGGAGACCTTAAAAGTACAGTGGCCCGAAAAATCAATCATTCAAGTTGAATGATGTCAAGCACATTGTCAACACTGCTATATGTGACACTGACATTGCACGCTGGCATGCATGTGTTGAACATGTCAAGAAGGTGGAGAAAGAGTACTGGCTCAAAGATGGCTTGAAGGAGCAAACAGTTAATCCAGTTGTCATTCGTCTGGACACTGATGACTCCTCTGTGGAAGAATGGAGTGAACTTGATGAAGTTTAATTCTGTTATTATATTTACAGATAATAATAGTATCCAGCCAGATATGCTCAAAGAAATATAACTTCTTTTAACAATGACAACACTGACTAATTCCATTGACTTATAGTGTAACAAGAAACACTCATTTCACATAAAATTATCATGAAAATATAAATATTAACTAACTATATGCTTAAAGCTATTAGAAATGCATTGCTTAATTTGGAATGTGAACGACATCAAAACATAACACTTTTGTCTTCATTCTATCTTTTCTTCAATGAGTGTGCATGATTGTGTGTGCTTGTGTCCGAGGATACGGGGCTTTAACAGTTGTTGAGTTCTAACCATAGGTGGTCCGATTAATGATTTAGTGTAAATATACTTTCTGTGTTCTTTAAATGCATTTCCACTTAGGTACTGCATAAACAAAATATGACATTAACATTACAAATTTAAAGATTTTAACCTACAGAATAATTCTCACTAATGGGTTTTGTGGTTAATGTTGAACAACCCAGAGAAACAAACGCCGTATGATGGTTTACAGTTGGCACCCACCTTAATACCCTATTCACGATCTGTGACACCTCTTCATACCTGTCACGTGCATAACTGACCTACATTGACGAACGGTGACCTTTATGACCCAACACTGCCGCTGTTACAGGTCATTGGCTCCCTCCCCCTGCAAGCTGTCTGCGTTCTGCTGTTTATTTTGTTGACAGTTACATAGACAGATTCTTTAATACAAATGCATAAAATCAGTGATTTACAATGTGATTAGGTTGTCTGACAAAACATCCACTTGCACAGTTTGAGATCGATTGGGTCATTGGATGAAGAGATATTTACAAAAAACCGGGTCCACGTGCATTTCATGCCAAACTATAGGAATCTTTTAGATAGTTTATACAGTGTTTAAAATTCCCACTTGCCCGACCGTCCGGAACGGTCTGTTTTCATCTCAGACGGTCAAATTTAAAAAGGAGCCTGTTTGGTGGTCTGGTAGATATTTTTACCCCTAACAGTAAATATTCCATAATATCAGACAGGTTCTCTTGTCGTCAGTTTGAGGTGTTTAACGTATTATGATGATTATGTTAAACTACTTACGATTGGACAGTTCATGTTACGATAACCAATCACAATCATGTGCTTTCAGTTTACCAAAACTCGGTGCATTGCCTGTTAGTGCTATGTAGTTCATTGTGATGCCTACAAACAGTGAATGGAGATTGCGCGAGTTGGTAGTCACCAGACAGGCAAGTTTGTATTCAGAATGGTAATTTTTTAAAGTTACCAGTCCGACTGTCTGGCTAGGGCTTCAGCGAGTCCATTTTTGGACTCGCAAGTAACTTTCGAGGAGTGAGACTTCATTTCGGACCAGTACTTTCGAAATTCATACCTTTCAAGCAAGCGATCAATTGTCAAGATAGTTACCTAATCATTTTAAGAAGTGAAATCTCAATCGATGTATAATATTTACTCTCATCTGCAGACTTGTAACAACTAATACCATACAGCCACACCTTGTGAGGAGTAAACTATTTAATCTAGGTGTTAATAAAAACATTATCAGATGGGTTAAAGAATTCAGGGTACATAGAACTCAGTATGTCAGTGTCAATGGCTATCAATCTTCTTTTCTCTCAACCTCTACTGGAGATCCACATGGCTGTGTTCCTTCATCCGTACTCTTCGTTTTGTATACCAATGACTGTTACTTGTCAATATATGACTTGTTTACTGTAAAATTTGCAGATGACGCCACTGTTACTGGCCTAATTTCTGATTCTGAACATTATTATCGTCAAGGCATTGACAAAACCGTAATAATGACAGTTTTTATCAAACCTTTATTCAAAGTGTGTTGACCTACAATTTTCTATGTTGGTATGGGGATCTGTCTCATCTTAACAAAACAGACTTTTCAAAATTGTTAATACTGCTTGCAAAATTTCTGGAGTGTATTTGAGTATAGTCAAAAGACAGCTAAAATTAGATTTGATAGTTGACATATTTGATCTCACCATTTTGAACTACTTCCTTCTGGGCGCTGCTGTCGATTACCTTCCCTCAAAACAGAGCTCGACAGTCTTTCATACCATCAAGTATTAAGTGAATGCAACAAATATTTTGAATCACCATCATGTGATTAGAACTAGAATTATTCAGCCTCTTTACCTATGTGGTTAATTGAATTATATCATGTCAGTTTTATTTGTAAATAGCATTCGTTTTGAGCATGTAATTATTGTGTATATTTTTGTGAACTGTGTATATATTTATTTTGAGACAGTTTGGATGTATGAGAATTTCCTCCGGGATAATAAAGTTATATCTTTTTCTTAATATTAGACGTTAACGGCCGCTCATGCTTAGCACATGGCAGACAGTCCGTCAACGTCAATAATTCGAGTTATCTCCCTTTTGAGTCCCTCGAAGTCCTTGAAAATGGTCCTCCAGCTAAACCCGAGTCCTTGTAAAATGGACTCGAGTCCCCCAGCAAATAAACACGACCCATCTAGGGGAATCAAACTCAGAGCGAACACTTTAACCACAAACTACCATATCACTCCTGTAAGGGTGAGAACTAGGGCTGCACAATATAACCGGTTTACCGGTATATACCGGTTCAGACATGAAAACGATACGTATTGCGATACGTTGATCGAAAACCGATATTTTGACATCCATTCGGAAAACCTCGTAACAGTAGTAACACTCAGAAATCTTCGGATATTTTCGTTTTTCACATGAAAAACATGCGTTTGTTGTAAAATGGCGACCCCCAACAACGAACAATCTATTGTGGTGCCAAATACTAGGGCAAAGGTTTCAGTATGGCAGCATTTTGGGTTGAAAAGTTCACGGTAGATGGAACTATTAATAAAAGTGTCATGGTATGTAAAATATGCCATGATAAAGTAAATTAAAAGTCTTTATTAAAGCTTAATCAAACATAGTGATTTTGTTGTGTTTTTGCTTTATAAATCAAGCATTAACTTCTTGCAATATATTACAATACATATCGCAATATATGCTTTTGCATCGCAATATATCGCAATATGAAAATTTTCTGCAATACCCACCCCTAGTGAGAACTGTCAATACTTTATCGTGTGAACACATTCAGGCTATTTGCAGTGTAGCTGCTGCTTTTAACTGAAACGCCAAGTATCGGCATGGAGGGAAGCCAGTGAATATTGATGATAATTCAAACAGCCAAATGCCTCCTGTATCTTGCACACAATCAAACAAATATATATATCACAGATAAAACTAGAATGTCTTTTCTTTCCTCAATTTGCCGTCATAAAAACACAAAGAACAATCATCATACATATTTGTTTCTTGTTTGTCACAAGTTAACAAAATATTTTGCATTGTGCACATCACAAGGTAAGTGAGTGAGTGAGTGAGTTTAGTTTTCGAGCACTCAGCAATATTCGAGCTATATGTTGGCAGTCTGTAAATAATTGAGTGTGGACCAGACAATCCAGTGATCAACAGCATGAGCATCAATCTATGCAATTGGGATACGATGACATGTGTCAACCAAGTCAGTGAGGCTGACCACCCGATCCCGTTAGTCGCCACTCACGACAAGCATGGGTTACTGAAGATCAATTCTAACCCGGGTCTTCACAGGCCCACAAGGTAAGTCTCAATGATAGATAAGTATGACTTAGGGATATACTAGCTAACTTTCATCCATGCAGTATTGAGTAAAATATTTACTAAAAGAATGCATTTTGGTTTACTTTTCTTATGCTGTTTCTTGGGATTAGTGGAATATGTTGTCAAATCGGGACAAAAACACATCTAAAGCTACCAAAGCTCTAAAGCTATCGTGTACGATACATACAATTATTATGACCAACTAGTATGACATCTTGACATCATGAATAAAAGACGTAACAAAAATCAAACTTACCAAGTTTGTAAAAATGAATTCAAATCTTGTTGCACCAGCTTTTGTTAAGACAAATAATGCCTCGGTTGTGCCCCTAAGTTTCTGAAATGAAAGGACGAAATCAGGAAAACTGACCTTATGTCACACAACTTGTATTTGTTCCAGGCTGAGAGAACATTGCAGAGCAAAATATAACAGAGAGTCTCATTCAACCTGCAAAACAGTATTTGAGATGGTGTCTTGCATGAGCCTTGAGCATATAGAGAAAAACTAAAAGACGTACCTCGGCTAAATCTGAGAAGTATTCCTACTGACCGTATATTTCTGATACCTGAGCCAAAAGTTTCAAAGGTTGACCTATAATTGTTTACTTCACTCTGAAACTTCTTTAAAGCTTGGGTACATCACCCCATGGGCCCCGATGGACCAGTGAACAACATATTTATCTTACCGATAATGTTAATTTTGAACTGTTTGAAGCACGGGTATCGGATCATAATAAAGAGTACCAGAGTTAGGCAATTAGCCAATACTAGATTTTCAGATGACATGGAATCTAGCAGACAACAAGAAAAAACAAACTTAGAGTTATCTCCCTTCCATCGATTTGCATTTGCAAAACATCTGTAATTTCCGTACATCATACCTGACACAATTATTCAACATAAAGAAATTTTACTAACACGAAGTACCAATTGAATTCCCACTTTCGGAATTCACAGCAGGTAACATAGAAAAAGTTACTCACTTGAAAGCGGGGTACATTGAAAATAATGGAAGAGCGCAAAGCCAATCAGAAAACGACATTTATATGTTTAATTAACAACATTACTGTAGAAGTGATGGCTGTCATATAGGTAGATGGCTTTACAGAATACAAATATGTGGATTCAGTATGCAGTAGAAAAGTATATTGTATCTTGAGGGATGCACAATATATTTCACTGTACCAAATTCTTAACAGCATAAAGTACCTGTGTTGAATGTAATCATTACATCGTTCTGTACAGTGCTCTACACTACTTATCACTTTACAGGACCCTCATATTCCATGTAAGAGAAAGTCCAAAATCGGTCGATTAGTTTGGCCCATTAGGCTCGATGGATTGAGAACTTTCTCCAACTTAAAACTGAAGTCAACATTGTATTCGTCTGCTATAGAGTGTATGTTCCATTGGATCCAATCATCTGTTATCCTACTACCCGAGTCTTTCAAAACTATCTCAGGTCTCAAATAGTCGCTATAGTACTGTCGGAAATAGACAAAAACTGTATTTTCTCATTTATCTCTACAATTTATGTAGTTGATATGTGAAAGTGTGAAATATCTGTTAAACTAAATTCGGCCCAACCACAGTCTCAGTGGTAGAGACATAGGAAACAGAGAAAAATGACTTTACTGAAGGGAAATAAGTGCACAAAATGAGCAATGCGGTTTTTTTCTAAGTCGAAAAGGACTTATTTGGAACAGACCATGGCTTTATGCAAATTAGTGTGCAACGATATTGTATTACAAAGGACACTTTTTAAATGCCCAATTTGAAATTAGACGTAGATTCATTATAAACGATAGCTGACGTAAAAAATAATAACTTTTATGCTGAAACTATTAAGGATGTAGCTACCATGGAGTCTCACTGTCACTATAAAAAGAAACAGATAGGAGGGGTCGCCTCAAAAGCAAAACCTGGGATCGGGCTGGGGGATAGAGATATCAGCTAAGATAAGATAATCCTTTAGGGCAATTATACTGGGGAGGTACACGGCACGTCATAACAATTTACAAATAATATCCAGTCCTGTCGATCTTCGGGTGGGCATGCCACCTATATACTACGATGCGTTTCTATGGTTTTCGGGTATCATATTCTTTTACATATCTCAACATAAACTTTATGAAAGAAAGACACAAAAGATGTTAATCAGTAGATGAGACATAGTCAACACACATGAAAAAGCAAAAAATATCTTTGAGATGACCCCTTGTGCCTGCAGGCAGCACGTGCATTTCATGCCAGGTGAGTCGACGGTCCATCGTCATACCTGGCTGAGCGACCTAATTGCCATCTATAGACTGATCTATTGTTTTCAGCAGCTATTCGTATTTTTTCTAAGTCTTGCTCGATTTTACGATGCTTTTCTGGATATCGTATTACGCATCCCACTGAACGCCCAGTTAGGCTGAAGTGGGTTATTTCGACATATGCTATTTGCAACTGTGTAAATTTTAGGGATACAGAGTAACAGCCTAAAAACAGTTTTTTTCAAATTTCCGACAGTACTTTAGAGCCTGTTCAACTTCCTTTTAACTGTAAGGACCCTACAACATAGTAATTGTGGAGTCTTCTCAAGTCCTAAGTTTTGTAGAGCAAGATAAACCACAGGGGCCTGTATAGAGTAAGTCAGATAGTTTACTATATTTCAAACAGACACAGGGACTCACTCACTGTCAAGCTAATTAATAAATACTGGAAAACAGAATGTTATTGCAGAAGAATATTATCATCAACACAATCAAGGTTCTTATAATTCTTCAACATATTCGGTTGTTCAGAGTTAGCTCCCTTTGAATTATCTGCCCTTGATTTCCACAGCAACAAAATGACAGATACCCTTCGTATGTTTGTTTCAGTTTGCAATAGTTCATGTTAACACATGTTTATATTGGAGTTGAATCTGAATGAATCACTGACATACAGTAACAATAATTACATACTGCATTGAGGTGCATTCTGTTGAAGCAAACAACACTGACCATGAAAATCATGTTATGCTATTACCTTCATCATTATGTTCGCAAAACTTGTTGTAACGTTCAATTAAACATTCCACATTAAGGCTCTATATCATTTCATTTATCTGTAAACCACTGGCATACAGACATACACAATGGGGACGGGGAGCCTGAAAGAATGGTCCAACAGCAACTTAGAAAATGATGTCGCACACAGGGAGCTATTATGTATTTATGATGTACACACTTGGGCAGAAACCTTCAAGTCAGTACATCACAATATGTATTGCAATATCTGTTAAAGTATTGCAATATATCACAATATGAGAATCAGGGCATTATCTAGCCCTATTATTTATATAAGATATTTATCGACATAAAAGTGTGTAAAACATGACTGCAACTTACAGATTGTGCTTGTTTGGATGATATGTTGATGACACAGTTGAAACCAATTGCTAAAACAGAAAAATATTAGTCATTAAAAATGACCATTAAATGTCTGGTGTTAAAACAAATATGTATATTTGAAATGAATATGCTATTTCTTTAACATCTTTAATGCAGGACTCAGCAATAGTCCAGCTACATGACCATAGTCTGTCAATTATAGATGCTGAACCAGATTATTGATCCATGCAATTGGAATATAACACCATAGAAGGTAGAAATATGGCCACCCCACATGATTACTCTCTGTGACCAACTGTGAGTGACTTGTAAAAGTGTTGCTACTTACATAGGTTGACTCTTGGGACAGACATGGAATGCCAGATAATACGCAAGTTGGAAACCAGCAGTCGACCTGAATAGAAACAGGATTTAATTGAAAACATTTCAAAGTGTTTGACTGAGTGCACTGTTGTATCACACAATGTGAAGCCATAAAACAGCCATATATAATGTCTTTCTTCTCTGATTTCATTCAAATAAAAAAGAGTAAGGTACCAATCGCCAGCAAACAATCTTGTTAGATCGCTTATTTTGAATGAGTGTGTCTTCTTATCCTGGATGGGATTTAAGCTCTGTGCTTTACTGAAAACTTATAATCCCAAATATAATATAAAGTGAATGAATGTTGTTTCATACTACAGTCAGGGGCGGTAGGGTAGCTTAGTGGGTAAAGCGTAAGCTCGTCACGCCGAAGACACAGGTTCGATTCCACACATGGGTACAATGTGTGAAGCTTATTTCTGGTGTGCCCTGCCATGATATTGCTGGAATATTGAATATATCACTCACACTACAGTGACAGCTATTCAGTACCAGCATGTCAGATTGTACGGAATCGGTCAGACCAAGGCAAACCAAAGGCTGATAGCATGAACAATAATCTTTATCTTCGAAATGGGAAATGAAAGACTTAAATGAAAAAAATAAAATAATCTTAATCATTTGACACATAACCAGCCAGGTCAAAGACAAGGTACTAACAGTGTACTTGTAAAAAAGAAGGAAGTATGCATGTGACTGATATGATGGCTGGCAACACCCTTACACTGACTGCATCGACATTAAGGTCATTGTGACTCTACTCCCTGTCTCTTTTGTCAGAATCCCACTGATAATAACATAAGAAGCATGCAAATAGTAAATAATCTTCTTCGGGGTTGGATATATATATGATGATTTCAATTTTAGTCTATCATCCTCTGTTTCGTATCAGAGACAGACTGGCTTTAAATATGATTATTTGTTTGCTGTTTAATGTTTCACTCAGCGATATTCCAGCTACATAACGACAATCTGTAAATAACGAGTCTGGAGCAGACTATCCACTGACTCACATTATAAGCAACGATCAATGTAATTGGGGTATGATGACATTTGTCACCCAAGTCAGCAAGTCTGGCCACCTGATCCCATTAGCCACCTCCTACAACCAGCACGAGTTGCTGAAAATCAATTCTAACATAGATCTTTATGGGTCCTTTAAATATAATGCGAGCACTCCTGGAATGTTTCAAGAAACAAAACAAACTGGGAGCCTACTCTGAAAACTACTAGTACCACAGGGGTAATCCGACAAGCTTCTATTTCTATTTCCCATAACATGCAGAATGAAATATCTGAAATCAACACTGACCCCTCTCGCCATTGTTTCCTTTTGTGTCTTCCACTGCATCAAGTCTGTCGATAAGTTTCTCTCCTGGTCTCATTCGCATTTGACTGGAAGGAGAACAGGGGACATCACTTAGCAATGTGATTAGCACAGAGACAAAAACTAACTATAATGATGTATCAGCAATGTTTCAATACACATACTGACTGACTGAGTTTGGTTTTACGCCACTTTTAGCAATATTCCAGCAACACCACGGTGGGGGACACTAGAAATGGGCTTCACACATTGTACCCATGTGGGGATTAAAACCCGGGTCTTCGGCGTGACGAGCCAACGCTTTAACCATTAGGCTACCCCACCGCCCCTCAATACACATAAGAGAGATATATGTATATATAGGGCTTTACCATCATGACATTCACAATTTACAAATATGGGAACACTGCATTCTACATTTCACCTATATCAGCTTGTGCTACTGGATGCTCTTAAACTTGCATGACGGCTTGAAACTATAAAGCTCGGTTCACGAATAAAATTACAAATAATTACTTCTCACTTGTCATTTTCCCTTGTGATCAAAATACAATTGCTTAATTTTGTGTGGCCCAGAAAACCAACATATTTCACGTCACTGGTTCATTCATGTAAGATACTATCATTCTGAACATACCCCAGAAGAGGTCCACAACCTTTTTGTATTGCAAATGGGCACCTGCAAATGTAATATCGATGATATGTCCGACACTGATCAAAGACACTCGTCTAGTTTGCCCATTAAATCTAATAATCTGATTATGATTATTTCAAGGTGTTAGGGTTTAGGTTTAGATTCAGCATTATGTTAGGTTTAGGGTTAGGATAGGCTTTCTATAAAAACATCTATATTCTTGCTATAAATCTTAGGCATAGAATGATAATAAAACGGGGGTTACGGGCGGAAATCTTTCCTTGTTTCTTGGTACACCTAACTGACAATTTTGTGTTTGTGTTAGTTACCAAAACATTCAACAAACAAAAACAAGCCTGAGGACTAATTTTGAAAGTCAGTTGAATCATTGAAAAGAACTAGGATTAGGCATTATTTTGAGCTCCCGTAAAAAACTATAAATGACATGACTGTACCTAGGATTGATGTCAAATCGAACATCTCTATCTTCCCACAGAACGTCGGCAGCCATGTTTAGTCGGAATCTCACCGGAAGCGGAAACCGTACTATAGATGAATAAAAAGGTAGAATCGATTTCGCCTGAACTATGATTCCTTTGCTAAACGAAACTCAATGATTATTCACTAACGTGCATGGAATACCATTAGTCGAATATGTGTTTACATGACGGCTCTCACATCTCCAACTGAGTGTTTTCTCTGACGATCTTGCCGGTTTGCTTGGGCGATTTTACGTGCGCTTCCGACATATTTAGGTAATTTTATTTTGAATAGCTTGAAGTTTCAAAACAACATACGAGTGCTTATATAACTAATCACCTTAAACCCTGTACTTACACACATTTCACTTCACTTTACTTGAGGTATTTTATTCTGATGTTTCTGGTGTCCTTCATATTATTTTCATTTAGGAGATAAACGTACTGTGAATGTTAGATGAATGTTAGACCGAATTGTTAGTCTCTAAATTTCATTTGAAACCGAACGCGTAGCCGTTTAATATCTAGAGAACCTCGCCCAAGTGTCTACTGATATTTAGGAGATAAACCTACTGTGAGGTAAAATCAGAGGTATATAACGAAATTATAATAGCTCTAAGTTTAATTTAAAACCGAACGCGTAGCGTGAGGTTTTAAATGAACAATTTAGAGCTATTATAATTTCGTTATCTACCTCTGATTTTCCAACACAGTAGATTTATCTCGATTCTACTATGAGAATTGTATGAAATGAACAATTTCAGGTGGAGCTCTTTCTTTGTTTACGAGTCAATACGTGAGGCGACCTCGCATTCCAATCTCAAGTGGCATCGTCCGAAACGGGGATTGGTGGCAAACCGTCAATGACTAACAAACTCCAGATTCAGTTATAACAAATCACGTTTTGTTTTTTCAATGCATCAATCACCAATCATTAACTGATAAGTTGGAAAACATATATCAAATAAATTTAAAAAGCTTGTTTCACATTTGAAAATTCCACCGTAGACCCTTTCCCCACCAGAATAATGGCAGCAACCTTGACCTTTTCTCGGAAGTCATTGTTTACATTTACGTGCAAATTTGGAAAGATGCGGCAGGCGAGCCTCTGACAGTTTGCGCAAGGTTAACCTGATTGTATGACTGAGATAGTCTTTGATATCTAATTACTGGTACTGGTACAAAATTTAAGAGTAGAAGCGCTTTTGCCCTGTCAACTTGACGATTTCACGCACCTCTACGTCTGCGTGCGACAGCTGTGGTGACACTGTTTTGTGACCTAGTGGCTTCAAAGTGTAGTGAATTCAAATTGAATCAGATTCGCCGGCATGTTCGCGAGTCTGTTGACAAAGAGCCAGATTTGTGGTGATATTTCCGAAAGGATGGATCAGGACATGAGGGTGTACCTCTGGCATAAACACTGTAAGGTAATTAATTATACTTTAATAGACTACTTTTGATCAAGCAGTGTAATGGATTATAAGAGGGATCATGACTAAGCTAAATAACTTTTTCAACGATATTATACTTTTAGAAAAAAAATATGTTGGGCTAAACAGAACGGTTTGCAGATTCTGTAATTGTGTTTTACTACCGCTAAATTTGAAACAGTACAAATTTCAAAATATCATTGATAACCCAACTGTTTATTTATGTGGACGGAAGGCATTAAAATTTCTTCGGCGTTGGATGTTAATGCATCCTCCGTTACCGGATCAAGATCAGTGGCGATATCATTGACGAAAGCTGATAATAAATTTAACACGGAAATTATGTAGCAGTCTATTACTGGATCTATTCTGATATAACATAGAATCAATGTAAACATATTTTGTTTTTGCGGAATTTTTATTCGGAAAGCAGACGATGTTTTGATCTTGTTCGACTGAATATTTGTTTCCATGCTTTCGAAGTACTTTTGTATGTATAAACACCTATTGCCGTGATTTACGCAAGTAGTGAGTCGAGCCCGTCAGCGCTAAATCCATCTTTAAAGACATATGTGTAATTTCCGACAGCAAAATCGCCGTAATTTATCGATGCATCGGTAGGTTGTTTGGTGTCCGCCATGTTGGTGGGCAGACAAAAATAGTGCATTACCGTAAACCATGTATGATTGCGCACGGAAAATCAGAGACCTGTATAACGTGATTATATACCTCTGAATGACTTTAATTAACCAATCACAATCCAGTGTTTACTGAAGTCATGGTAGAATAATTATTATAGATTTGCAGTGCAGCGATGTCATAGCATTGTGACGTCATCAAGTTCATGACGTCAAAGCATTGTCAGGGCATTGTACAAAATCTACTGTCAAAACGATATCTCCTCCTAGGAGATATCGTTTTATCTCACACAAGCAATATATCCCGTGGAACACAGTTTTGGATGATAAATACCGTTTACCGTTTACCAGGTAGGCAAATCTTACTAACGTTTTGCTGTAGGTTTGTATAAATAAGGATGTATTTTTACAAGTCTTTTTGATAAGTTAGAAATTGTTTGTTTATGGCTGGGGCTTTACATTGTAATTGTGTTTGAATAGTCTTATAATAGAAGGTAATATGATAGTGAGGTTCCCTGTTGAGGAAAATATCATATAATTGTATTTTTATTATGAATATTTCTATCACGTCTGTTGTGTTGATATCAGCCATGTTGGTGGTCAAGCAGAAGTAGTGCGGAAGTGTAGTATACGCGCGCATAGAAGCGGACTTAAAAACAAACGCATTTTCAATCCAAATTGATAGTGTCTTATGTTATTGACTGTCCAATCAAATTCGAGTATTTCGAGTCATGGTAGAATATATATTCCACTGGATGTACGGGAGCATTTAAATGCAAGTTCAGAAAATTATAGTAGACACGGCGTATACTAAATCATGATAGGACTCTCCGTGAATTCTTCTTTTAATGTATCAGTTTTGGAACTTATTACAACTCAGATAAATGTTATTTTAATTGCGAAATTCATGAAAACATTCCAGTTCGGATTCTTAAACCCCATTCAGAAATATGCATTTAGGAGATAAACATAGTGTGTTGGAAAATCAGAGGTATATAACGAAATAATAATAGCTCTAAATTTGATTATTATAATTTCGTTATATACCTCTGATTTTCCAACACAGTATGTTTATCTCCATTCTACCATAACTGCGTTATTAAGACTTTAAAAAATACAAACTATGTGGAAATTCAGAGGTATATAACGTGATTGTATACCTTTGAATGACTTCAATTAACCAGGGGTATGATGACAGGCATACACACACAAACGCACACGCACACGCAAGGACACATGTGTAATAATCAGGAACGCGATGTTGAAACCTCACCTTCATTTTGACTTCCATCAGATATGACAATAAAAGAGACCGGAATTCCAGTTTCCATATTCATGGGAAGTGTCTGCTAAATGAGGTCCATTGTACCATTCGCGCTACATCATAAACATGTGTTCAAGAATCACTTGTAAACACTCAGCGATGACACCAGGTGTTCACTTGCCCTATCACAAACACATGCAAAGACAGATCAATTGTTCACCTGAAACAATACGGGAACACCCTATGATACAAGTCAACATACTGAATTGCAGGAGACAAAAATTTCGTCACTGACACGTCAACTGTGTACATGTTTACCAGCAACGTTTTGATAGCTCTATTTTAAGTAGACAGTCGGAAATAGAAAAAAACAAACTTTTTTTTCTCATGTATATCTACAATTTATGTAACTTAATATGTGAATGTGTGAAATATCTGTTAAACTAAGTCCGACCTAACTACAGTCTCAGTGGTAGGGAGGTAGGAAAGGTGAAAAAAGACTTTACTGAGGAGAGATTAGTGCGAAAATGAGCAATGCGTTTTTTTCTAAGTCCAAAGTGACTTATTTGGAACAGACCATGGCTTTATGCAAATTATTGTGCGATCATATTGTATTACAAATGACACTTCTTCGCGTTTTGTCATTCTTTTACTCCGACATGGTTGCTAAAACCCCTCTGGTCACAATTATGGACTATCCCATACCCACTTCACCTAATTAATTTTCCGTACCTAACGGGTAAAAATAGGTGAAGTGGGAGGACACCAGCTACCATGGAATCTCACTATCACAATAAAAAAACAAGGTAGGTGGGGTCTTCTCAAAAGCAAAACCGGGTATCACAGACAGTGGTTTGGGTCGGGCTGGGGGATAGAGATATCAGCTAAGATAAGAATGATAATCCTTTCGGGGAATTAAACTGGGGAAGTAAACGACATGTCATAACAATTTACAAATAATATCCAGTCCTGTCGATCTTCGGGTGGTCATGCCACCTATATATTTTGTGACATTTAATACGATGGCTGATTTAAGCTTTTCTATGCGTATCATACGCTTTTCCATATCTCAACGTAAACTTTATGAAAGAGAGACACATGCTAATCAAGAGATGAGACATATTCAACACACATGAAAAAGCATAAAATATCTTTGAGATCACCCCGTGTGCCTGTAGGCAGCACATGCATTTCATGCCAGGTGAGTCGACAGTCCATCATCATAACTGGCTGAGCGACCAAATTGCCATCTTTCGTCTGATCTATTGTTTCCAGCAGCCTTTCGTATTTTTTGCCCAATTTCACGAGTAAACATGCCTTTCTGAATATCCTATTACGCATCCCACTGAACGCCCAGTTAGGACGATGTGGGTTATTTTGGCATATGCTATTTGCAATTGTGTAATTCTTTTCTATTTCCGACAGTACTTTAATGCTATAGCCACCTGTGAAGATCCGGGTTAGAATTGGTCTTCAGGAACCCTAGCTAATCCAAACAGTAATCCTACTGCGAAAGTGATGATACCTCGGCGCGTTACAGCCATGTTTACCAACGAACATAACTCTAACTCGAAGTGCCAAGACTTAGTATCGATTCCATTCATTGTGGGTTTATAAATAGAGAAGCTTACGTAAAATTGTATAAGTGTCCGGCTGATCCATTGGTCCACGTCCCAAACGAGAAGTTTATTGGTGCTCTGCTTCCCGTTCTGCAAGATA